CTAAGCGAAAGTGTGTGTGAAGCTAAAAGCCACTGAGCTGACCTCAAACAGAGATGTTAATGGCTCTGCTTTAAATTACATCACCCTGTCGTCCTACCTCTCCAAACACACACCCAGTGACCCAGACACCCCCTACTAGCTGAGCATTTCCTAGACTGCAAGCCTTGCAATTTACTCACTGAACACATGGAATGCAGAAAATACTGCACTGGTTAATAAAATGCACATGCATTTTTAGATCTAGCAAAAAAATATGTTCACATTTTTATGCATGCGAAGCGAGTGAATGATTTCTTTGCTCATTTATTTCTAAAGACAAATACCATCTCTACATTTTCTCTCCTCAGCCATGTGTCTCAATTATTTAAACAGATGTGGATCCACATCACATCTTGTGGCCATACCCTGACAGTGGACATTATCTCCACTCTCTTGATCACGTCATACTGCTGAGTCCAGAGTTACGGGTTTCTGGGTGTGCATGTGCTAGTTTGTGTATGTTTGTTAAACGTCTGTGTATTTGGCGATAGCTGGTCACAGTTTGTGTGTGTGTTTGCATGCATGAATGCGGCAGACAAACAGGAATACCCCATATCCCATCCATGCTGACTAAGCAGTCCTGCCCCAACCACGACTGTTTAACATGCACCAGTCAGTGCACTGCAACCACCTTCACCATTGCTGTCAGCCTCACTGTACTCCAAATGTATGCTTGTTAACAAAGACATGCTATAGTGTGGTACATGGTCACAAAACCTGGTGGGTTCCATAGATTCAAAATATACTGTAAAAATTGTTTTTCAAAAGATTTTTTCTAGCAGTGTGATTTTAGTATCATTGAAACACTATTATAGTGTTTATTTTTATATTTTCAGGTTTAATTTTAATTTTAAAGTTTTAGCAATTTAGTAGTGGCGGCTCATCGGGGGAGGCAGGGGAGGCACAGCTTCCCCATAATTTTGAGGTGAAAATGGGAGGACGATTTAATGTTAATAAAATTCACAATTAATTTCAGTTCATGTCTCAGAATGTGTATTTTTTGTTTGTAATTTTACAGTTGTAATACCTTAACGTGAAAGCGCCGCTTTTCTATCGCGAATGTGCCGAATCTGCTGATGTAATTGCAACCGCCAGGTGATATAGAAGGGAAGGGGGAGGCCGGGGGAGAGGTGATCTCTCGTGCCTCCGTTGGTAAAAAAAATGAGCCAATCACCATCGAGTGTTCACTTTCAGCGCTGAGGAGTGTTGAGAAAAGAAACCTCGTAAGGGAGGCTAGCCTCTCAACCAATCATCACAGAGACGTAAATTATGTGATAGTTTGAACGTCTGCCGCTGCGCTGATAATGTACCAAGTACTTATGATGAGTAGCGATATTGAATATTTGATCGCCAACAGATTTACCTGTTTATATCAAACAGTATATATACAAATTTAGGGAAAACAGCCTAAGCTGGATATAGGCTACAGCAGTTGGCTTAATTAAATGGCGCAACAGGCAGCTCTCTTTTAACACAGACTTTTAAGAAGGGATGGATGTTTGCTTCAAGTGATAGGCCAGGTAAGTGAAGTTATATTATCTTGCTGTATGTGTGTCATTTTCTTTACATTTTCTGACTAAAAGCAACCAAAAAGCCATTTTAAAGTGGTTAAGCAAATTATAATAATAATAATCGGCAGGGATCCCAGACCAATAAAATTAGTGTGCCTCGTCTATTTTAAAACCCACGAGCCGCCACTGCAATTTAGTTTTTTTTGTTGTTGTCATTTTTAGTAGTTTTTGTTTATATATGTATGTATATGTGTGTATATACACACACACACACACACACACACACATACAGTTTAAAATTTTTATGTCAGTTTTAGTTTTAATTATTTTAGTACACAAAGTTTAACTAAAATAGAGAAATACCTTGGGAAATTTCTGAAATAAAACGTTTTTTATCATTTATTTTAGTTAACATTTATTTTATTTTAAGTAACAAAATGTTTTTAATGGTTTTAATTTTAGTTTTAGACTTTTAGTTAACTATTATAACCCTGATTATTGGCGTACATTTTACAAGAAAATGCTATTTTGTTTTTTCGACTTCAAAATTTCATGTTTAATTCAACACGATACTTGCCCTAATCTTTATCAGTAATTTTTGTTTTTTGCAACAAACTATCAAATGATTTTTTTATTTATAAAACTATATTAGCCTACATAGGCCTACAGTATTCTTTTTACTACGCACCAATTAACCTCGGGATCTCAGCAGAGTGAAAACGCTTCAAGAAATATATCTGAAGTATGACAGCCATATTTGTTTACATAAGGCCTCCACATGCAACATGCACAACTACCCATCTAATAAACCATTTCTGGGCCTAGTCTTCTCTTCTGTACCCTCCTCCATGCGCTACCTATGAGGCCTTTTCCCCTTTCCTCAAACAATGACTGCTTTATACTCAAGGCCCGAAGTGCCACCGTGGGAATGTGCTGAGGGGGAGGACATGTTTTTATTTTGCTATTGGCAACCTAACCAGAGGCTGGCGACACATAGGTTAAAACTGCTACACACAAGTACTCAAGGCAGTAGGTGTGGACAAATTGTCAATTTAAGGACATTATGGAGTTAATTTGCACATTTTAACAGCCAAATGGTCAACAAAAAAAAAACATTTGGCAGCAAGTTCAATGTTCTTATGCAAATTTCATGGCGTGGTGCAATTAGCACGTCAGTGCCAGATCTGCAACATCCTGATCTATTAAACGTTTACAGTCCCACTCATTTCAGCGAATTTTTCAGTTCTTTCGCAGTACTTTTAACGGTTCAAAAATGATTCAGCGCTACGACGTAACTGCGTCATCACGTGGTCTCTGATATCACGGCGTGGACTATTATATGCTTTAAATTTAAATTGTTCCATAAATCTGTATTAAGGTACAATGCTGTTTATTTGAAAACGTAGTCATTTAGAACCAAAAAAATAATTTGGATCTCTTGGCTGATTTTTTTGCACGTTTTAATAGGCTAAGATGTTAGAACTTTCATATATCTGTGTATCAATAAAATTGTCACACAATCAAGTCAACATAGTCTACGTGTAGTACGTGTTATTTATAACTGCCGCTATTCGGCTAATGAAGTAACTTTTTCGATCCATCCGCTCACACGGTTCAATTGATTCTTGGTTCATAGCGAATCGGTTCTCGGTTCAACGAGTCAGCGAGTTGACACGGGATGCGCTCGGATCTATACAGTGCGATTTTATAGCAACAAATCAGCGTTTGTGAACAGGTGTCCTGATATTTTATCCTACCCGTCAGATTGTCCTACCAGGGTTTACTGCGCATGCGCACATCAATATTGCGTCCTTTTTCTCATGCTGAACAACAATATTTAATGTATCTGCATTACTGTAAGGGTAGGTTTAGGGTTGGGGTAGGTGTAGACTTGAATAAAACACAATCTAATAGGTAGAACAATTATTTATTGTTGGTTTCCTGTAGCTGTAGGCCTATCCATTCTAGCTACAACCGCGAATATAACACATAATTACTGTATTTGCATTACTGTAAGGGTAGGTTAGGGTTGTGGTAGGTGTAGATGTAGATGTTAATAAACCATAATTTTACAGGTAGCATTTTTCGTTGTCGAATTGTACTACCCAGTTTTAATGCGAGGTAGCAAAATCTGACAGGGTAGCACAAATCGACAGAACACCGGTTCAACCCATTTTTAAAGAACCAATTCACAAGAATGATTCATTCACGATTGGTTCGAAAAGACGGCAATGTCGTAAAGATGTTCCGCATCTCTCTGAATATCACCTTGACGCCGTAATGATGTATACTGCACAAACATCTGAAAAAACATGCTCATGTCATGATGACTATAACACAGATGTTCTTGCTGTGTCACAGATGCGCCCCTCCTGAATCACATTACATCACAACAGCAGTCAAACTGGCGACCTTCCTAAAGGACCGACAGCAGCAGTAAATGTGCTCATTTACCTTGCAATGCGCAGAACTGTCAGAAACACGCCAGACCTTGAAACAAGCAAAATACGCATCCGCGCTACTGTAGGAAATGCTGTTTTGATCCCAAAGCCATGCTGTAAACAGTCGCATTACTACATTTCTCTGCAGTGCGATTATTCCGTATCAAAGCGAGCACTGAACCGTTTTAATATGCGTTATGGACGTATATTTAAGCGCTGCGGTGTTTGAGGAGCCCTACCTCGTTCCGGCTTCACCTGGGATGATGATGATGGAGCGTGCAGACTTTTGCTGCATTGACTCAAAGCTCCCAGGAGCGAGACCACGTGACCCAGCTCTGCACCGCTTCTATCTCAGTCATCCAAGTCTACACTGCGCTTTTAAAGTCAGATGCAGTTTTATGCCATGAAGAGTCGTGCAGGGATAAAATCCCTTACAAGATAAGACTAATAATGTCTTGAGATGGAATATAATATTTACATCCGGTAAACGTGCTTTCCAGGAATACACTGTAGAAAATGTTACATTTACTGTAAAACTGCTAGTAGTAGGTTGCCAGAACATTATCGTAAAAATACTATGACGTCAATGTGTAGCCTAATAAAATCATATAACGTCCTATTTTAACGACGATTCACCATAAAAAGTATTGTAAAAAAAAAAAACACAAACACAATATTATTTTACTGTAAAATTACATATTGTCTTTTACAATATTATTTTAACGTAGGCCTATATGGTAACTTACTATATGGCAACTTAACCAATTAACAAGTTTGGTTGTAGTAGCTACTTTTCTAGGGAATAGGGAACTTATAGTAGGGAATATTTTTAGTGTATCTATGCCGCAAAACAACGCTATTACAAGCTGTGTGGATCTGTCTCAGAGGGGTTTGTGAATAATTACACTTACAGTAATGATATAATGTGAGCTCTGATTCTGTGGGCGTTGATAACGGATTGCACCGTAGAATAAACTGCTCAAACTGTTATAAAAGAGATTTAACTTACCTGTAATGATGTCGTCAATCACCAACTCTTTCTCCGTCATCATTACAATGTTCAAGTCTCCTTATTCCTGTTACGATCCCACTTAATGTCTAACTTTTGCGCGGCTCATTAGATTCTTTACAAAAAGCTCCCTACTTCTCAAAGTGTGCTCCCCACTGTCCCGTTTCTTAACTACGCTCTTACACCCACCAGACTTCCGGCCCAAAACTCTTTAAGATTAACTCTTTGGTGCTCATTGAAAAGTAAGTATCTCGAGTTTGACCTAGAGTTGTGTTTTTCTCATACCGTCTGACACCCAGAGAAAGGAAGTGTACCGATCCAGACTTTACGTCTGTTGGCTCGCCATCCCGCCCCGCCCTTCAGCTCGACTCATGTGCAAGACTAGGCTAATGAATACAGTAACAGAGTAAACACAGGTCTCTGAGAACTAAAGGGACACGTAATTAATTCTGTATAGCTATTCGATTCTCTGTGTATACTGTGAAGATATTATACAATATAATACATTAATTGTGTTGTAAATAGAGCAATATTTACACACACTCAGAAAAACTAAACTGTCACTGGGGCAGTACCCTTTCAAAAGGTACTAATATGAGAAGAAGGTACTAATATGAGGAGAAATTGCTTTCTTTTTATTGAACATATGGGTGTGATCTCAGCCAGGGTGGAGTTTACATGACAAAGGCACTGGGATATTCATGATATCACACAGAATAAAGCAGAACACAATGCATCTCTGCTGTAGACACTTTCACAGAAGAATCCTTTGGTGAAACATGGACAAACATTTCTCTTTACATGTGAGGCTACTTTCTGTTACCAATAAACAGAAAAAGTTAATTCATATATAGTCACATTTTAGCCTACATATTAGACATATTCATTTATACATACAATCAGTGATGGCTGTTTTTCTAAATCAATTAGTAAACTAAACTTCAGTAGAGTATGGCAGTTAAAGGAGGAAACCAGAGTTGGTCACATCCCCTGGCATTGCAAGGTTATAAAAAGGCTCAATGCCCCATCTAGTGGTCAGTCTGAAATTGACCCACAGGACCCTAAACCTGCCAATCAAACCCCAAACAGGCATTGTATTAACATAATGCTAATCCTACTCTAATATATTTAAAAATGTTCAAAGTGTCCCATACATATTTTGTTCATATTCATATGTGCATCAAAAATATTTTTTTTAAATGTAGAAGGACAAAGGAGAGATACTAAAAACAAAATATGTCTTGGCATGGCTATATGAAAAGTAGTCATAATTTAGATGGTTTTCAATTTCCTGACTTGCACAAAAATGCATGGCACATTTCTTGCTGTTAGATTCCATTAGCTTGTTTTGACACTTTACTAAGCTTCCTGTTCACTGCTTTAACAATCACAAAAATTGGGGTGATGTTGCACCAATACTTTCAAAATCAAAAATCAAATTGCTGCCCTATTACTGCCAAATATTAGCTGGAGCTCAAAAAGTCACTGAATGAGTCATGTCAAACTGGATTGGCTTTATTTTTTTAAACAAATATCAACTGCATAAATGCAGTGCAATGTATTTTCACTTTTGTAGGAAAATTGGTTTATGAAAGTATATAGCCTTTAAATTGGCCCTTTGATGAGAACAAGCCATGTTAGCCAGTTCAATGCACTCTTGATAAGAACAGTTTGGAAACAGTCCTACAGAATCCATAATATGCTGCAACATAGGCTGGTTCTTGTTTGTATTAACCATATGATAATTTTGGAGATGTTTACTTATGTTTAGGCCTTTGTTATATGGATATATCAAAGCACCGGTTGGGTGAAAGTCACTCAGTCTGAAACACATTTGCATTTGTATTGTATATAAAACACAAACAAGCTTTGGCAGCTGTTCAAAGTTATAATACATGTGCAAAGAATGTTTCCTGCACAAGACTTGACACCATTCTTTACAAAATATATTGAAAATGGTTTTGTTAAATTATTTTAAAATAAGTCTGAATAGGCTATAAGCATAAGTAACCTGTTAAAATAAGGGATTTCAAAAAACTAAAAAACTAAAAAAACTCAACTAAAATTAAATAAAAATTAAATTAAATTAAATAAAAAAATTTCCAAAGCCTTGACGTTGGGACAACATGCCCTCAAGTCCACAAGGGGGAAGTGTTCATACAGAATGTCAAAAACAGTATCCAACAGTACAACACTTTTAGGACATTTTAGGTTCCACCACTTCAACTCTGATTTACACAACACAATCACTATTACAAATGCATGAGAACTAAAATTAAGATAAAATTAAGGAATAGTTAAGAGCCTATTTAAGCCTATTGATGAACTTGATGAACATTGAACAAGAATGTCAATGGAATGTTACATTAGGCTAAATCATATTGTTTCGTCTGCGCAAGTAATACTATTTAGGTAACTAGCATTATTGTGCTTTAAGAACAGCTGTAATCTTCAAGGTCTGGCTGAATATCACCACTCTCTCAACAGAGTTCTCTCAATCGATTGGCTGGTTGTACCCCTTGTTGTGCCCATGTCGTGTGTAAAGAGATATTTAAACAATACAGTTATTGCAAACACAACTGTTATTTCACTATTTATGTTTTCTTCGACCAGTGCTCTCGGCAGCATGCTGAACTGATCAAGCCGCAACAAACATACCACCAGGGCCATTTCTAGATATTTGGAGGCCCGCCACTCCCAATAAAAAGCACTTGAAACAAATATGATTCCTAACCTTTTTATTTATACAACATTTAATTTTATATAATTTTACTTATACAGTACCGTTCAAATGTTTGGACACATTACTATTTTTAATGTTTTTGAAAATAGTCTCTTATGCTCATCAAGCCTGCATTTATTTGATCAAAAATACAGAAAAAACAGTAATATTGTGAAATAACATTACAATGTAAAATAATGGTTTTCTATTTTACTAAACTTTAAAATATAATCTATTTCTGTGATGCAAAGCTAAATTTTCATCAGTCATTACTCCAATCTTCAGTGTCACGTGATCCTTCAGAAAACATTCTAATATGCTGATTTATTATCAATGTTAGAAACAGTTGTGCTGCTTAATATTTATTTTATAACCTGTGATACTTTTTTCGAGATTATTTTCTATATCAATTTAACACATCCTTGCTGAATATTACTGTTTTTTCTGTGTTTGTGATCAAATAAATGCAGGCTTGATGAGCATAAGAGACTTCTTTCAAAAACATGGAAAATAGTAATGTGTCCTAACTTTTGTATGTATATTAATCTAAGTATGTACATATTAATCTAATCGAACTATTAATCTGTATGTACATATTAATCTAACTTTATCTAAGGTAATCTCTTTTTTGTTTGTTGAGGATGTTATTATAACCACCACAATTGTATTATTATTATATTATTACGCAGTAATTTATTCAAAGTTCCTGAATACCACTTCAGTAAACATCAGTGCTTTTATAATTTCTTAGCTGGGTATGGGCAGGATTTCCCCCTCCCATCTATTGATTACAGATATTGTCATTTTATTATTATTAATAATATGATATTATGTTTTGCATTGTTACCTTAAATATGAAACTGAAACTGAAATTAAATGTTATGTTAGAGCAGTAGGCCTAATGTAATCATCAGCAGAATTTAGAAGATACACACATCTGATGTTTGTTTGTTTTTTAATTAAAAAAAATGTTCTAGTGTGTTCTCTTTTTGACTTTGAATACAAACTTCTTTGCTTTTACTTTTGTAGCTATCTTGCTAGTCAGCTCCCGGCGCGATGTCATTCATTGTAAATTCAAAGCGTCGCGTCTGGGCGCTTCAAACGGCGCTCGCGCTCTTTTAAACTCGTTATAAACCGTTGAATGATCTGTCCAGAAATGACGCTGATCGACAGAACAAGTTTATATTTAGAATAGGCCTACATTGCAATCAAATCACTCCAAAACAGATGACGACAACTCACACACCTGCATCAGGAGCTGTATACTTCTTACTTTTTAGCATTTGGCTTCGCAACAGCTGAAGGATGTGTTCATTACGTAGGGTGACCGTCCTCTTTTTCCCTGACATGTCCTCTTTTTGGACCTACAAAAAGCATCCGGACGGGATTTCTTAATTGCCCAAATGTCCGGGATTCGGCTGTTTTCTTAATCCCACTCCCGCTGAATTTCTGACTGCCGCCTTTCGGAGAAGGGTCTGGCTGCAGACTTGCACTTGCACTCTCAGACTTGCATTCTCAGACACTTGCGCTTCCGCAATTGACATCACTTGCAGTCTTTTTTATTTTCTTCTATTTATTGATTACTTTTTGTTTGAATCTCTCAACATTTTACAACAGTAGCCAGGTGGTGAAGACAAGAAAAAAGAAACTAAATTACAATGTCACTTGCAATGGCCACTTGCACTCTCAGCTACCTGCGACGTCACTTGCAATCGACACCACAAAGTCTCTCATTAAGCGTTTTCCTCCCGTAGAAAAACCTAAACACTTAATATGGCTTAATGTATTAAGATACATTAAGTGCAATTAACTATATCCAATGAACAATGAGGCTAGTATTTTGCTTATGGTGAGGCCCCGCTTCAAAGCCCGAGGCCTAGGCAGTTGCCTGCTCTGCCTATAGGTAGCGCCGGTGCCTAATCCCAACCCCACCCCTAATCCTAACCCCTCCCCCACACTTCCAGCATGATATTAATAAGGTGTGAGGCTTTATTAACATGTACACTACACCCCAACCCTAAACCGACCCTTACAGTAGGATAAATACAGTGTTGGTAGCATAATCTGATAGGTAGCATTTTTTGTCAGAACACTGGCCGTACAACATTAACCCTTGAACACACACAAACGTCGGGAGTTCTTTTGGTCCAAAGATTTGCGCAGCGTTACGCTAGCGCCATATTAATTGACGTTAGAGAAATCCGATTGTTTATATTTACTTGTGGACGGTGTAAAAGAGACATTACTTTACATTACTGAAAACAACAGGAAACGTTGGCTCTGTGGATTTTGTATGTAATACCTTAAAATGTCGTGTTAAAATAGCTACAACGCGGATGCTACAGTGCTACAATAGCCTACTAATTGAAATGTTTAAGTGCTAGGCTATTAATGAATTTGAGTTACCATTTCGCGTTTATTAATTTCATAAACTTTTCACTATTAGGCCAAACCTTTAGGCTAATTATCATCATTAGCCTAACAGTTTAATGTCACTTCCATGACATGCTTGATGTGAGAGACCCTGTAAAGTTCTAGGTTTAATTTACAGATTACAATTTATACATTGATTTTAAGAAAAGACAGACGAC